TCATCCCCCAAAAAGTCTAAAGTAGGGAACATGCTTGGTGGCTAGGGACATTCTGGATTGTGTACTGTCAGGGAGCAGCATGTGCCACACAGAAAAGTAGCAGACAGAATCTGGCAAATGAGACAGTCGTCTCTCTACAAGCCAAGACAGAAACCCACCTGTGGATGGCACCCCACACTCTCGACAGTCCTTCAGGAGGCGATGAACGCTGTGACCGAGAGCATCCAGTCGGCCTCCAAACGGAGGATCGATGACGATGGCCAAGCGCTGGGAATTTTGCCTTTGCAGCCAATCCAAGAATCTTTGTCTGTCTCCATCATGGAAAAACCAGTGATTGTACATGTTGTAGTGAAGGAAGGAATCCTGGCTCCAGAAGTTATGCTGGAAAACAAGCATCACCACATCAATGCTTTGGAAAAAGCAGCTTTTCTGAGAAATTCTAATGAAAAATTTCAGAGTAGGCAACTTTGCATAACTGGAAGCTGCACTTCTGTATTGATCAAAGCATGAAATTATGGAAAGGTCCCACAAACCTTCACACTTTCATAATATAATCTAAATGAGATGAAATAGGACCATCATTGAAAAAGTAATATGGAAAAATTAACCCCATTTATATAGCAGATATTGAAAGCTTCCTGATGGTCCTTCGCACCACTCTTCCACTATCTTTTTATGAGTAACTGATATGGGTAAATTAAATTTTGAGTGGCAGTTAAAACATGAGGTATGTGACGCAAGATTTTGCAATGTTTGTTTTATGAAATCTACAAACTTCAATGTAATGAACCGTTCACTTGAGAGAAATATGTAGGAAAAATCAACAAGAAATCAAAAGAGCATATTTCAGACAAGAAAGTTTTCCTGAACCAGGATGAAACTATTAATTTTGCACAGACCTATGGCTCATCCACTTGAATGGAGGTTTTCAAAGACATTACTTACAAATCTTTCATCAATGTCCAATAGCAATGTATTGCTTTGGGCGGCCTCAAGGAGACTGGGGCACCCAATGCAGATGATGCTTTGGATTCCAAGTGAACGTAAGTTCTTCAATATAAGCTCAACCACAGGTTTGCTGAAAAAGTATTGTGCTTGTGCTGTTCCATCTGAATGTGGGGTCAACCACTGCAAGAAAAAATTCTCACTACTATATTCTTGTATGGGGGAAACATGCAACAGTTAACTTTGCACAAGTCAGAAAATGAAAATAATGCCTTGGATGAGGAAAGAAGGCAATGGGAATAAGGCAGTTTAGCAGAAATGAAAATGGGAGCACAATGAAGACAATTTGTTGTTGACTGATAAAAAATTAGTCAGTTGGTTAGGTTGAAAGGATCAGTAGTGAATGAAAAGGCACTAAGATGGAAAGATGTGAAGTTGAAGAGCCCACCATGGATGGATGGTGAAGGAGGTATCCCTT